ACCGGCCAGCCGGTTTTTTTGGATCGAAGGAGGCCCGGGACCGGCCCTCCACAAGGTCGGTTCCGGTTCGAAAACCGGATTTTCCGGGCCGGGTCCGGTCCGGTCCGGGCCGGGTTCGGTCCGGGTTCGGGCCAGTTCAGCGGGCCGGGTCAACCCGTGGCCATGTCTAGGAGGAAGACATGGAGCCTGCAAATAAAGCCAAAAATCAGGAACTTTTTATGGAGATGCTATCACAATTGGGTGGGTACAATGGACAATCTGAAAAGAAGAGGGGTGCAGGTGGACAATATGTGTTGTTGGTGTGTAGGCAGAGGAGAGTGTTGATCACCTATTTTTCTATTGTGATAGAGCACAAAAAGTGTGGAAGATTGCTGGCTTGAGCTGGACACTATACAGAAATCCTCAGGTAGCTTTCAACAATGGTGGCAAGAGATGTGTGATATGAGAGAGGAAGACCATAACAGGAAAAGAATTGCCTTATCCACTTACCTGTTATGGTGGCTGTGGAAAACGCGAAATCATTGGGTGTTTAACAGGATACATAGTGAGGAGATGGATGTAGTAAATGGGGCTAGATCAGAATGGCTTGAATATGAGGAGGTGAAAGGGGAGAACAAGGAAAATAAGCCACAGGATTGTCAGAAAAATGAGGGTCAAGCTGCAAATGTGGAACAAGGAGTAGGGTTGAGTGAAACCAGTGCTACTGTACCACAAACTGTACTGGAAGGGGTTGAAGGACAGATCAGGGAGCAGGGCATGGAAATTCACCAGTGGCAAGACTATAGGAGTGGTGGCTCACATTACTCAGTAGAGGCTATGCTATTAACTTTGAGGAAATGGCTAGAGGAGGGAGAGGCAAAAGGATGGCAGAGGGTGGAGCTTAGAATACATAACAAGAGTTTCTTCAAGAGACTGCAATCTAGATGTGGCTTTAATGTGAAGCTAGAAGCTCTTGCATATGATATTTACAGCTTAATGGGCAGGTTTCATTCTGTAGAAGTGATGTT